CCAAGAGGAGCCCCTGAGCTAAGTGCTGTACAACATGGATACGGCCCACACAGTCGTATAGCAGTGTGGCTAGTCAGTTTTGGAGCTCTTACAGCCTGGGCTCACTTCTTTTATGTAAAAGCACAGATATATCCACAGATGGCAACTCTGTGGTGTGCCCAGCACCTTGCAGGTTAAAGCCCTCAGGAAGTTCAGTCAATGCATTACCACTGGGGAGCGACTGCTTCACGGACAGGGGGACAAACCAGAGGGCCTCAGCCTTGTCTGATGCTGAACTTGCACTAAGAATTCTTCATTTTCATTTTCCAAAACATATAACCAGATTAAAAAGCATCTGGCAGAATGAATGTCTCCACTGTCCAACACCAGAACTGTTAAATGAAGGATAAAGTTGTCAATAGTTTTCTGGCACACAGAGGCTATTGCTGCTGGTTTAAAACTGAACAAACGAACAACCTGCACTGCTGTGCGGCTCTGCACTGACACCTGCTGCCTGAACCCCCAGCAGCTTCAGGTGGCTCAGGCTGTGAGTGCATCTCCCCAGACTGGACGTGGTTTTATGGTGACTCTGCAGCTTGTATCCTTCCTACTGCACTTTGGTTCTCACTGCAGACTGCTGTCAGAGCACCCCATCTGGATCGCTTTTGCTGAAACAAAAGGAGGGAATTTTATTACAGGATCACACCCATCAGGCACCAACAGCCCATGGGCACTCGGGCTGTGAGAACCATCCTGAGCCAATCCTCTCTGTGAATGGCTCATGGCCTCTCTGCTCAAGTCGCTCCACCACAAAAACTCTCTCGTGCTCCCTTCAGTGAGTGTCAGTGCAGACAGCACAGGTATCTAAGAGGTTTTGGAGATGCTGAGGCCTGCACTCTGAAAAACACTCTGTTCTCATGTAAACATAGAGAAATTCACATTTCTTGAGGATTTTAGGTAGTGGGAGGTGTCAGGAAGTGGCTCACGCAGTTCAGGCGTGTGAAGGCATTACTAGATACCTTCTTTAAAATCTCAGGGGAAACACTTCACCTAACTCTGACTATTAGAAGAGATGTGCAAGCCTTGAAGATATTCAGGCCCTTTCCAGAAAGTAGAAAATGACATCAGGCATTTCAGAGAAGACACGCCCTCCATTATTTTGCAGATGAGACAAAGCCAACCAAGCAGGTCCCTCTCTCAGGCCTCCCCATGCAAAGACCACTCACCCACAAGATCAGATTAGGGCATTTGTTTTCTTCCCTAGCCTGTCACTCTCCAGCACCTCTAAGAGGTTCCTGACAGTCACACCATGTGTTGCTCAGCACTTGACTATGTCAGCTATGGGATAAGAAGTACTGTACAGGAAGAAATGAGACTTCACTGGGACAGTCACAGACTGTCTAACAAGTTGCTTAGAATATCCACTTAGGGATGTGTTAGCTTTTGACACCCTGTCTTTGGGCTGGTTTTATAGTTGATACTTGTTTCCAGAGAGCAAGGACCAGAGCACAGTCCTCCCTGTACCTCTAAGCTCCAGGGAGTCTCTATTTTTTTTCAACACATTACTGTAAGAGAGCTGCAAAGAGGCTCCCGCATAAACTATCTGATAGTTTGGAAGGCAAGGCACTATTTTGGAAGAAGGAAGGTCGATCGCTTTTACACTGAGGAGGATGCAAACTCACATCTTCCATTTCGTATGTGAGTACTTCAAGCTGTCACATACACAGGAAGGACAGGAAGGGTAAATGGATGGACCATGCTTTTGCACTGTTCCCTTCTCTCTCTTTGCCAAAGCTTTAAGAGAGGAAAAAAGCACCTTGCTAAGCTGTGTCAAAGAAACACTCTGAGAATGGAGGGCACATATTTGTTATTGGATAATTCCCTACACAAAGACACAAGTAAGATGGATGTATAGGACTGTACTTAAGCTTGCCTTTGTCCCTCAAGTTGTCTCTGACTTACTGGCTCAGCTTCTTTTGAAATGTATCCTTGGAGATTTCAGTGTGCCTTCCAGAGGCAGGTATCTCTAGAATTGTCTACCCAGCACTGCCATGATAGATTTTTAAGCATTGAGGCTCTCCATCGGTCCCCTCTCATGATTCCCACATACAACCTCTGTAACTTCAAGACTGCAGGAGCAAAGGTATCCAAGCGCTGTGTAAATGAAAGAAGAGGTCAAAAAGTGCAGCTTCAGACACAGATTTTAACTTAAGGAGCTAACTGTATTCACATGCCACCAAGGACACACAGGGCACGTGAAAGACAACCTTTACCTTGAAGCCTACATTATTCTTCATAGTCCCCTGTGTGAGGAGATGCTCCTCCTCACAACAGATCTGTGGTCCATTATCAGTGGTCCAGTCTGTGTTGCGCCCAGCCTGTTGCACCTTGCTGCTGTAGGGAGGGATCAGGGGATGGCATGATGGGACACTGCTTTACTCCCATGAACCACAGTTCTGCAGCCTTGTGCCATGACTTCAGGGAAGAAAGGATCAGATGAATTGGGATTTAAAAAAATAAATCACAGAGGGTCTTAAACAAAAAAATATATATTATTCACAATCTCCAGGAATAATTTAAAACTAACAGAATGTAGTGTGTTATTTCATTACCCATTGCTTTCAGTGTGGATGGATTCTTAAAGCCAAAAACCTTAACATATTTTTAAAATAAATCTGAATTGCTAGGAAAGCTGGATCATCTGGACTTCTCTGAAGCAGGTAAAGTAAAACACTTTTTATTTCAAGAAATATTGCTTCTAGACTTTCCCGAAGCCAGAATTGTTCTATAAAAGTATCACAGAAATATTATACAAGATTTAAAAACACAGCTGGTATCCTAGTAACTTGAAACCTATGTACAAATAGCATCATTCATGACCATAAATACGTTTGTTCTATCAATCAGCCCATGACACATACATCAGATAAAGAGCTAGTTAATTTTAACATATGTACAGAGTCCATCAAAAAGACTGCTTTTTAAAATTAATAAAATCCTACTAAAACAATCTTGTTTTTAAAAAGTTTCAACTGAAAGTACAATGTGATGAACGTAAATTTAACCTGCAGTGCTTGCAATAGCCCAAAAACACTCACTACAGTAAACAAGACGTAACAGATAGGAAAACACTCCCAAGAATCGGATGCTATGGAATTACATCTGTTTGAGGTAATTCTCTTTTGGTGGTATTGTGCTAATTATTTTGAATTTATTAAAAAAAAAAAAAAAAAAAATACTAAGTTTCTAGTAGTACAGATTTTCAAAGTTATTTTTTGTGTTATACTTTATAAAATTTAAAGTTTGGTAAAATTCAAGAAAAAACTTCAGAACAATACAACAAAAAATATCTAAGCTACTATTTTTTACCCCATGTGCCTTTTGCATCTAGAATAATGTAAATCTAACACGATTTTATCATTCCCTTTAATGACTGTTCAAAACAACAAGAAAAAACAAAGTCTCAAAATGAAAAGAATGCTTTTAAGATATCATTCAGGCTAATAAAGATCAGATCTTGTGACAAAAGTATATATGAGTTGATGTAAACCTTTCTACCGGTATCAGATAAAAAGAAAAGTCAAAAAAAACCTCATGTGTTTTTAATACTGACAGTATCATATATAGGGAAACAATCCAATTTAAACAAATCTTCCTGTAGTCAACAAGTATTAGCCATACCTTTCTGAGAGTAGATTTAATTAAATCAAAGTAACAAAAACATGCAATATTTTTGCTAGAATGATATTCAAACAGTCTGTTTCCACAATCCATGCTGATTATCTCTTTCCTGTCAATCTATTTATTGGTTTCACAATTACATTAATCAACGAACAAACTAAGAACAGGTAAGCTATTAGATTCATAAATGGTATGGCATACAGATTTTAAAAGTGCAACATCATTTTAGTTAAAAGTGTGGCATTAGGAATTTCCAGTGGTTAAAATAATTTATCAAAAATCCATTATGCAGACAGATCGGGTGGACTGAAACATTCATTCATGGTGGGATCATTTGGAAATGGAGAAAGTCACTTGAACATCCTCGTCAAAGAAATTATTTTAGCTTACAGAGAATGTGCTACTGCATTAGAAAGTTAACACTGTTTCCTTCCATTAAAAAGCTGGAAATCTTGCTTTCCAGTGTGAAGAATCACTGTGAAAGTATGTATGTATGTATGTGTGAATAAAATACACACAGACAAATGCTGAACTGGTCTTAATTTAGCTGCAAATTCTATCTACAGTGAACATGGAATGTCAGTTGTCATGATGACCTTTATTAGTCTGCTAATAAGAAAAAGGAGAATGCATTTAATGATCTGCAACTTGGTCTAACCCAAGGAGAGTGGAGATGAGGCACTGCCTTCTATATTTAGGACTTGTGAAGTTTCCCCTTTAAGACTCTGTTCCGTTTTTTTCAAAAACATTTCTGTTTTCTGGGTACTGATGGATGAACCCCTCATGGATACATTTACAGCCTGATGAACAACAGGTTGATCAGACCTCACGGGAAGATACATTTGATCTCCAAATATGTCTCTCATAGCATCAGTGTCCTGATGAGTGTCTTTTTGAGGAATGCTGATGGGTTGTAGCATGAAGCCATGCCGGGATTCCAACTCTATCAAACCATTTCCACTGAAATCCATATCAAAACGGTCTGATTCTTTATCCTCCAGCCATTTTTCAGCTTGATTATTTCTCCAGTGTGCGTCATTCAAACTACTTTTTTCAGGAATATCGTTGTTTAATTCAAGTTTTCTCTCTTGACTTAAATTCATGGTGCTCAAAGCTAGGGATGCAAAGTCTGTTGGCACAATAAGCTCCAATTCTTCCCCAGTCAGGCCGCTCGCCTCTTCTGCAGAAGACATTTCCACTGAGGTTGACGTAGATGATTCATCTCCGTCCCTGTTGCTTTGAGCAGTGTTAGCCTCGTCTGATTTATTTTGCTGGTAGTAACTGTTCAGCAGTGCAAACATTCTATCTACATCCTTCAAGTAATTAGTCCAGTCAGCCAGACTAAGTCTATAGTTGTATCTGTGTTCATATACACTTTCATTCACTCTGTACAAGTCTTCCAGTCCTTGCCAGTTGATGTCACCAGTGAAATCGGGCAGGTTAGCCTTCCCATCCATCCCATAATTGTCCTCTGTTAAAAGAAAGAATACAGCCTAATGGTGAACACCAGCTTAAAGGTGCAAGCAAAGCTGCCGCGTGCATTTCTCCTCCCATTTCCTTGAAAGCACCACTATACATAGCATATATATCTCAAACTGGAAGATGCTCCACATCTTCAGTCATCTTGCTAATGATTGTGGCTGCAGGTGAGTCACAGCTGCTACAGAACACACAGCAGTGAAATCCCTGTTTTCTGCTGCATCCTTGGACTGAATAAAACAGGGCAGAATCTGCCCTAACGGGGCTTTGTGATGTCATTTATAGATCTTCCCTATGGTATTTCAAGGCATAAGACTTGCTTTAATGCATGACTAATCCATTTGCCTTTCCTAAACGTTCCACCAAATGACGCAACGAACAAACAATGGTTGAGTATAATAGATGGGACTAATTCTGAAAGCCATTACTGATGAGAACTTCAACAAAGTCCATAGGAATTTGATGTATAGCTTGAAATATAAGTTCAGCAAAGCAACTAGCCAAGTATTATTTAATAAATTATAGTCTAAGGTAGTTTCTATACCTGGCAAGCATTCACTTTAATTTACATGGAGCACAGAGAAGAAATAAAAACTGTAAGTTTGGTGTGGATTAAGTTATAGGACTTTACCACTTGGTAGGATATTGTTAAAATTTATATAGAATACCTCCTAAAGTTTTTATTTTTTATTAAAATATCTAAGGTTTATCAGACAATATATCTGAATAATGAACAATGGAACAACTACAGTGACTCAGGTCATCAAATATACTGTGAAATCCATTTTATGCTGACAAGTTACACTGAATACAATTATTTCATATAATTCACAGCACATCCAAATATTTTCCCTAAAAAATAGCCTACGAGGAAAAAATAATTAGGTAATGCAGAAGGCATTCAGGGAAAGTGGCAGACCTGTCCTCACAAAAGATCTCATAGGCAACATTTAGCAATTAATTCACTGGGAAGAGGGCCTCACTTGGCATGGCCATGAGCACCATATACATAAGTTAGATTATGAATAATTTGTTTCCTGAAACAAAAACAACAAAAAAAATTAAATACTACAGAGGTTTCAAGAAATAAGTCTTACTGTTCTAGTGTTCAGAAGAATAAAAGGCTCTAGAAATGAATATAGAAAAGAACGTATTTTTGAGGAATTTAACTAACTACACTACAAATGCTACAAATCTTCTGCTATGATTTGTATTGATAATTTCATATATCCCTATCTATCTGTCTGTCTGTCTGTCTGTCTGTCTATCTATCTCTTTATCTATTTAATTTGCCAAATATGAGTCTGTAGGAAAACAAACTTCCACAAGAACAGTCAGTGGTTAAAGTGGTTTGATATATTATGGTAGAAACTGAAACTAGAGCACTGCCATTTGATCATTAACAAGTCTGTGTATGAACCCGGGCAGTGTGGGGCAAATCAGAGTCCAGGATGTTGGCTTTTGGCCTGGAAGAATCTCTGCTGCCAGTTCAAGGATGACAGTATGAACAGTGGGGATATTTTGGGGCTGGTGAGAAGGAGCTGCTGTTCCTCATGAGCCTTGTAGCAGGGTGTTGGTGCTGTGCTGCAGAGAAATTAGATCAGCAAAGAGCTTGTTGCATTTCTACAAAGTAGCTCAAAGACCGAGACCATCATACTGATTCTAATCCTTTCCCCCCTAAACATTGCATTTTTTCTGCAGTCTCAGTTTCTCCGCTGATGACTGAGGAGTTTCACAGCTGAGAAGGCACTGGAAATGGTTGCGTGAACTTCATGTCCATAAGATAAAAATAACTTGTTTAAACACATGGAAAAGAGGTAACTTGTATTCATACATGTTAAACAAGTAGGAAAGCTAAATCTTAAGGTCCTAGAGCTGACTGTATGTTGGTCGACTGTGCAAGTCATCTCACAGCTTAATTCCACAACTTAGTAGTAAGCATGATGTTTTCCACTGAAATCAAAGTATATAGGAAGGAATGGAGAGGAGAGAAAAAGTTTTCTCCTGTAAGAAATCTCATTACAAAAAGGTCTGAAACAGAGAAGTGGAGATGAGTTGCATTTGAGTAACAGCATGTCAGTGGTTTTCTCTATCAATATTTGGGAATCACTCACCTATATCACAGACCCTAATGAGATAAAAAGTATTGCTAACTGTTCATAATAAAACATCTTCAGTTTTTTTTAAATCAAGTATTATCTAAACTTCATTGACTTGTTTCATTGACTCTGATTATGCCTTAGAGTCCCATGATGCTATCTGTGGCTGTGTTATCCCCAAACCAATTCAAGATGTGGTTGCATCTCCTCCTAAACTAAAGGCGAGTAGGTACAATCACCTCCGTGGTGACTTTGAAAATTGACAGACAAGGAGAAAAGAGGAGATTGTGATTCCTACATCCTGTAATTAACTACATATGCAGAGTCACGTTCTATCTGTTCAAGGACACGGGCGACACACATTCTTCCCTGCAGAAGCTTTCTCCCTTTGTATTAAGCAAATGGCACTATACTGACTGTTTCCATACAGGTCTGTTGCCCAGTATTGTCCTTGCAAAACTTGTAGTGCTGTACTAACCCAGGACATTTTAAACTGGAAACAGATCTAAGTGGAGAATGGAGACTGATAAATATTTTTTGTTCATTTAAAAAGATGTTTTAGGAAAAAAAAAAAAAGAATCCCACCAGTATAGAGCTTGAACCCAGACATCCTTGTGTGCTGAGAAGCTGGCTGTCTGGAACAGAGGAATACTGCACAGAGCAATATCACTGGTGTCATACTATACTATTTATACCAGTAGCATAACCTTTATTGACTTGGTCTTAGTAGTTAAAACATTTTCATTAACACACTGCATAATGATATATAACTTAAAGATTAATTCCGGGTGCTCTATTTCATGCAATCCTACAATTAAAAAATGCTATTTCTGTTATATCTGTAGTTAAAATTGGGAAGAACATCTTCTAATGGAACGCTTCCAATCATAATTACAGGGATTACTCTCTATCGTTGCTGTAACCAGCTCCCATCAGGCTGTAATAAGCAATGTGAACCACTGGGATATGACCAAACAAAAGCTTATCATTTTCTACATCCCCAAACCACACAAGTCTGAAAATGCAAAATTGACTGCGTGGAAAAAAAGCTGATTAATTTGGAGGTCTACAAAATGTTGAAGTCCATTATCTTAATTGTTTCCTGGCTGCTGGGAGCAGTGACAAGGCTCTTCTCAGAAGACTGAAGAAAAGTTTTCCATAGACTTCTATACTCCTTGGGCCCAGTTTACACCTCAGGCATGCTATGTATATTAGGACCAACTCCACAGCAGATGGAGATGAAAATGTATAAGACTGATATATAGGGTGGAGATATCAAGTCTAAATATGACAGCCCTCTAAACGTTTTCCCCTTAACAAAAACGCTTGCTGAACAGCAAGTGCAGTACTGTAAAGATCTGAGTCTCATGAGGATTTTGCTTTATGACTGGTTCCTCCACCAGGAGGAGGAGCAGGCTGGGCTCAGCATGATAAATATGTAGGTACCGTAAGTATACTTGTTTTGCATATCTCAGGTTTGAGGATTAGGAATAAGACATCTCACTCACTGCCCTTCCTGAATTCAAATATTGCAACCTTTTAAGAATACTTGGTCTCATGTGTCAGATCTGGTCTGAAAGCATTGTTCCCTCTGCCCAAAGGAGCCTTATCTTTATGCCTTGCTTACAGTGATCTGGATGCTACGCACGTGCTGATCAAAATGAGCACTCTTTTGCTTAAAGCAATATGTCAATATTTTCTAAAGCCAGTGAGAAGGTTTTACTTTACTTCTGTATGTTTGATTAGGCTCCTCGTACACATATATTTCAGGAAGCTTTTTAAGCACAGTTGTTTTTCACTTAAAGAGCAGCTGTAAAGAGTTCCTAAATAAAAACAGAAAGAAAAAAAGAATGCAACAACAGGAAAACAACCCAAAAGAGGTTATTCTTTTTGTGTCATTTTCCCTGCATAAATATCTAAGAAACACAAGCATGGAATACTAGCCGGATGAAGTCTTGCTGTGACAATGAGCTACGTTAAATGCAGAATGGTAGGTCTCAAAAACAATGGCCAAGTTCAGTGTAGTTAGAAAATGCATGCATCAAAAGATATTTTGTGTGCAAGATGGCAGGATACAGACATTAGTTGAAATGGACTGGAATCATGCAATTATTTGGAAAGAAGCTGCTGAGGAGAATAAAAAAGTGTGGATACCTGTGTGGATCATAGCTTCCTCCATCTTTATTTCCTGATATAGGAAAATACAAGAGTAACTTTTGTTAGTGTTTAGAACTTGTAAAACCATTCACAATGTAGTTTTCCATGCACAGCATCTAATTCCTAAAAAGAAACATTCTGTGTTAAATAAAGACAGAGCTGCAGTCCAACAAAGATTTCCTGGAAGTTTTATATAAAAGGAATGAAAAACCACAGTTTTTCAAAAATAATAAAACCCCCAAATGATTAAAAAAGAGAAACATTCATAGCTGAAGAAAGAGACACAAAGATGCACAACATAAAATATGTAGAAGGGAATAATCCTGTAAAAAAAAAATCACAGTTTCAAACAACCAAATTTAAGTGCAATGAATTCCAGACTTATGAAGTATAAACACCACCTATTCTTGTATTCAGACACACTTGCAAAGAAATACTGCTTTCCTCATAAAAAAATAAACAAAGGGATAAATAGATATTTAGTCTTGGTTGTGGTATAGCACCTGAGATTGTTCATACAGGTAGACAGCAATCAGAAATAATACAGGATTTAATACCTCATCTGCTACTGTTAGGTAACACCTAACCAAGCATCCTCTGCAACAGAGAAAGGATCTATGGCTCTGAAAAAAAGATCTGCATATGCTTGTTACTGCTAAGTGCAAATAACATGATACACTTGCCAAAGAATTTCTGTCAACTGCTGTTTGTTGTCATTATCTGTCCAGAATAACTTGTGCAAACTTACAAAGAGATTTTCTGGCCATGCAGTTATGTGGATTGGTGTATTTGGATCATTCCACCTCATTAAGAGCAACACTTAAGAAAATCACACCTTAAGGATACAATTAAGGAGATGACAATAACCTAATAAAATGGAAATAAATACTCTTTTCTATTTTTCTTGTACCTGTTTCAAGTCCCTTAGGCCTTGGATTGCACTGCTTATAGCCTTGACAACTTCGCAATTCCATTAACTGTACATGTAATTGATTTAAAATGCCTCTTTCCACTGTATGTACAGTATTCGTCAGCTGAGAACAAGAGAAACGGAGAGAAAAAAATACTTACTAACAGAAATAATAATAATAATAATAATAATAACAATAATACAGCAAAAGGCAACTAGAGGAGTTTAGTCTGCAATATTTTGAAATAGGGAAAGGGATTTACCTGATAGGGATCAGTGTTCATATCAAAATATTCCAAGAAGCCAGTTGCAAACTCACAAAAGAGAAAATTGTGGGTGTCATTCACTGTTCTCAAACACCAATAAGTGTTGTTATTTGAGCTTGTGCAAGCACAGAAAGATCCCACTGTAAGTAATGATAAAAGTCGTTAGTTTAGGTGAAAAATCATATGCTTGTTTCTTATTCTAGTGAATAAGTGAATTTCCCTTATACTAGTGAAATTTCTATAGATCTTCATGTACATATACTCCAGATTATTTAAAAGAAAAAACATCCTATATTTGAATAACATTAGATTCTCATCTAAAACAGGTCAAATGCTGCTAACATGCAAATTTATCATACAAATTTTTCAAATATATAGACAAATAGAGCAGAAGATGATAGTAAGTAACACAGTTACTGGGGCATATTCTGTTCTGATTTATATATAGCTTTTGGGATTAAGCAGAATTCAGACCTTAAAAATGACAAAACAAATCCTGATCCATATCAAATGAGACTCATTGGAATTGTGTGCTGTTTATAGGGGTTCTATTATTGCCATCAGTGGCTAAAATGGTACCATTAGTAGAGTCTCTGAGATGCAAGTACAACAGATAATTACAGAGGAAAGTCAAATTGTTAGTATAATAAATGACATGCATAGAAATGACACAGCAGTCAAGAAAGGGTGAGGCACTGTATGGGAAGAAGGCAGGTGGGAGATTTGGTAGTTTAGGATTTATGACTTCAGGGAATGGCATGGAGTTTTGCAGCAGGGTGATGGTCCTTGTGAGTTCCTTCGAATTTAGGCTATTCTACAGTTCTGTGATTGTTCTATGAAGAGATGGTTTAAAAACAGGCAACTTGTCTGGCACTTGAATGCAGGTATGATGGTAGAAGCAAGATGGAAAGTAAGACCAATGGATAAATCTTATTTTAAGTACTAGTTCTCTCCTACTGGCTTGATTCTCTCAAATGTAGCTACTTAACAATTATGTATTCTGAACTACATTTCCTGATGTTATTTATTTGGTACATAAATAAGAGAGAAATTGAATCACTCAGTTAAACCTCTGCTTAGAAACAGCCCCAGGTAACATAACTGGATTACGTGTTATTATTTTTCAACCTGGGGAAGCCTAGGACAGAATTCCACTCCTAGATCCAGGTGTCACACATGAGGTAGATGTCATTACAGAAAGTTAAGATCTTGTCAGTACACTCAAGTGGAGTCTGGACAACTCTTCCACTGACCAAGCGTAGACATACATTTTAGCATTATATTGCAAAAATACAATTAATCAGTATTTACATATTTTGTGCAATATGAAAATTTAAAATATGGTAGCAGGTGAACTTCCTTTGTTTTCTTCTCAATTAACGGAAGTTTAACCAAAAAACTATTCAGAGTCAACAGATATAGTTTCAGACATGACTACTAGGAGATTAGTTTTAGTAGGTATGCTTAACAAGATGTTCAAACCTTTTTCCAAAAATTTTTATGATTGTTTATAATCTCATTCTGCCAGCAAAAAGAGATATCTCAGAAAGGTCTTAAAACAAACTGTTAGAAAAGTTTTGCTTTAAAAGAATATCTTTTTAATTCCAATGATAAAATATTAATAATGTGTTTGATTTTCATTTAATTAGTTCTGTGATTTTTTGTAATAGTGTTCATATTTTAAATACACTTCACAAATCTAGTAATAGTATTAGCCCTTTTTATCCACGTAATCAGAATCAATACTTCAATTTGTTTTTGGTTATGAACTGTGTCATAGGGACATTCTTTTACCCCATGACTGTTAATGGAGCATTGCCAGGATGTACAGAAGGATAAGAATGCTTTTTATAACTGTTTGCTACTCCACAGTTAAAAAGCAATACCTCAGTCTAATAGTTCTTTAGAACAAAAATCATGCATATAACTGCTGTAGGAACATTTTAAAATGTAAAAACATACTAGCAAAAGTTCTACTGCTATCAAAACAAATTACTAAGTAAGAGAGAGCATCTTTCTTAAACTTAGTATGCCAAATTTTCTGCTTGGAGTCAGTTATGAAGTCTGCTCAAAAAGTAGTGTCTCCTATGTTATTATGCTGGCCCATAATGTAAGAGATGGATGTTGGTGTTATAGCAGTAGTGGCTGAACTCTCCCATCAGTATTCCATTACATTTTGTTTGTGTGACAGATGGCAGCAGAGGGGCAGTCTGACAAAATGGCGTCTGACGTGGAAGTGCGTGTGAAGCAAAGGTGTGTCACTGAATTCCTCCACGCGGAAAAAAATGGCACTCACTGATACACACTGACACTTGCTGAACATTTATGGAGACCAAAAAGCGGATGTGAGCACAGTGAAGCAGTGGGTGGTGCATTTCAGCAGTAGCGACTGCAACAGTGGGTACCTCTGGTTCAAATTATTACGAGCTTGGCATGGAGACTCTTGTTCTTTGATGGTGAAAATGCATAGTTAATGATGGTGATTATATTGAAAAATAGCGTTTTGTAGCTGAGAATTTGCTACATCAGTAATGCTGTTTTAATTTAATTTTAATTTCATATAAATATGTAACACAGAAACTACAAACATACTCCTGAATACTTCAGAAAAAGTGTGTGACAGCACTGCTAAGTGCTGTTCTTCCACATAATGACCTGATGGACTGCATGAGGTGAGAACTCTTGTACAACAGATGAGAACCTAGTTCACATCTGAACACAGAACTAAGACTTACAGTTCCAGAAAGGTGCAGTTTGCCAGTGGTTGTTGTCATGGGTAAAACACGTCAGTCCAGGAAGGCTACACTCATCCCCTTTCTTCTGGCGCTTTTTCCCCTTCCTTTCCTTCTTCCTTCTGCGATTCTCTTTGAATAGCTGCAGTTTGCTGTCTACCTCCTGTGCTGCTTCTCTGTTCAGAAAGAAAGTTGGACATGGCTGGTAGAACAGCTTCTATTTGGTTAATAACAGCAGTTTTTACCTCTATCTGACTTTTCTGAAGACTAGATGATGAGAATATGCCCTTTGGGAAGCTGATCTTTCCAGCTCAGCTTTCACCCCAGCAATTATGACAAAGTGTCTTCTTCAGCATCTAAGAGAAATGATGCACTTTAGATTTAACTGGGTCTCTTTAATGATTACCTAGTCTATCAATTTCAGAAATGGTTAATTTCTTCCATTTCTAGTTTTTTCAATATTATTCATAAACTTTCACATATATGACCAGAAGTACTGAAGGTGTCTTCCTCGAACTGGCTTTATGTGACCTTTTGTTTCCTTCATGTCTTCTCTTCTCCCCAAGAACCCAAGCCATTCTTGATGTTTCTCTATTACTAGAATGCTATCTGAGAGAGTGAGGATGATAAAAACTTACTTGAAGGGATGAAGATGGCTCTTGATTTTCTCTTGAGCCTTTACACCTTTCTCTTTGTTGTAATAGCTATAGGGAAAAATTTTAAAAATTACAGTCAGGAAACAATCCATTTTCAGAACAAAACCAAAACAGTAACATAGCATCTTTGACATTTTGTCATAACTACACAGAATGACTCATGATTTTCATTTCATTTAAAGAAGTTATGTCTGTGTGAATGAGCTGAAACTATAGCTATGTTTAATATGTTAGTAGAATACAAACATATTTATTCTTAAAATTTGTACATGCATCTTCTAAGAGTAGCTTCTACTCTTAAAAGTGATCTAACTAAAATTTGGATCTGGTAGTCCTTCATTTTCAGCATTCCTGAATTAAGATACGTACCCTGACACTTGAATGTGTCTCCAGAAATAGAACAACTTTGATTTCTTCCCAGGTCAATAGAGAAATAAGTTCCATCCAGGAGAGATACAGAGCACAAATATTTACACTCCTATTATGAATCAGCTTCCTTCCTTCCCTGCTTTGGAGATGACATCTCAATAGGCTAACTCTTGTCATAGTATCTATAGTAGTTATAAATATCAGTAGCTCTTATATTTTTTGTCTTCCATTTCAGAAAAAATAAGAAAAAACAAAAAACAACCCACAAAAAAAAACAAAAAACAAAAAACAAACAAACAAACAAACAAACCAAAAGCAAACAAAAAAAAATCTCAAATCAAAAGAGGAAAACTTGAAAAATACATAAACCTTATCAATCAGTGTAGCTGCCAACACTGAATGTCATCTCTCTTACCTCTGTTTAGTACAATCACATTCATCTGGTTTTCTTCTTTTTAGGTGCCCTCTAACTTCCCTCAAGTTCTTGATTTTGTCCTGGAGAGCTTCAATCTGCAGAGATCATTGCTCAGTCAGATTTATTCTTTGAATAGGTAGCAGTGCAAAAACTACATTCAGGTTTTAAAGTATCTCTTACCTCCTTATCAATGTAAGCCTTGTGGTCCTTCCAGGCTCTGGCAGATTGGTACAGCTCCCTTTCACAGTGAATAGTGTCATTTGGAAGAATAAAACACCTAGATACAAATTGGAAACAGAAGGTCATTGGTTTCCCAACTGCCTACTCTTTTATTCTCTTTTTCCCATCATTTCTGATAATTTCTTTATAAATAACCTCGAGAATGTCTTCTCATGCTGACAACAGTATAATTGTCTGCTTAAATCTGTTTCTCTTCAAAATCCATCAATCCATTCCTCATCCATGACACACGCTCTAACACATGCTCTGTGCATGCTAAGCAAAGAAGCTGTGAGATTCTTAATCCAATCAGAAATGAGACCATAATGGAATTAAAATCTATTCAGAATGAAAAGTCTTGTTAACAAAATGTACTCATTTAGCCACCAGCTCTGAGAAATATATTCCTTTTGTCCCATGAATGAGACACATCATCTGAGTATGAAAAATAGTTAAAAATACCATACAAATATAATCACTGAGTAAAGAAGATGCATATAATTAATAAATATAAGGATAACAAGGAACAAAGTTAGAGCAAAATGTTCAAAGATGTGGTTAAAAAAAAAAAAAAAAAAGAATGTTCACATAATAAAGTGGTGCAATGACAAAAATATTCATACCAATGTTTGAAAAAATGGTGCTATCAAGAAACAAAATAACCAGAAGACCAAGGATGTGGAAGAAGAATCCAACAGACAACGGCCTGGACTTCCAAAGTCTCTAAGCTGACAAACAGAACATGCATAAATATGGGAATATTCCTATCTTATAGACATAGTCTTCCTTGGGCCCTGCTCCATCATAACCCTTCTTTAAATTTTTGAGAAAAGCAGAAGGATTTAAATGCTTATCTCTTCTCAACTTCTTCCATTATAGTTTTTTTTTTTTTTTTTTTTTTTCCCACTTACAGAACTGGAATTCTGAAAGCAGTATTTAGTAGAAGTTAAAATCCTCTATAGGGAAATAGTCATTTTTCCAAAAAACCACCTAAGGCTTTATTAATGTCATGGAAATGATAATGTAAAGATAGGTAATTTTTACTTGTTCAAAATTAACATCTATGTGATTCTTGATGTTTCTGGAAAAAAAAAAAAAAAAAAAAAAAGAGAAATGCTACTTATATTTCAAATATGATAGAGGTTAAAATAAGAATTTTTTGCCTTTGTTTGCCTGACTTCAGATAAATCATATTACCACTTTTAAGAGAAAAAGATTTTGAAATTGTTGCCTTTTCATTTAAATTTAGTTAAGATTAAAAATTAAAAATGAATTGAAATTTCTAGGATGGAAAAATGTTGGGTCTCTTCAGGGATATATGAGTATAAAGAAGCTTAGTTAATGCTAATTTTTTTGCAAACAACTAAGTCATAAGAAAGATGGTGTAGCTGATCTAATGTGTCCTCACTTGGAGCAGGATTTCAGTCATATAAAATTTAGGCCTCTATGCTAACCTAGTTGCCCAGCCTTTATAATGAACAGCAGGAGTTTCTGCTTCATGGGGTGATTAATCCATCACAAGATACATATTTTGATGTGAAGGATGAGTTCTCCCTCTAGAGTTGCCTGCTCCTCAGAGATAAAAACAAAGCTTGACACTTCTCCCTTCAATGCACATATTACAATTGCATGATTCCACCTAAAACAAGCACAACTCGAGCATATCTAAAATTGTCTGCAACAACAATTATAAGTTCTTTAATACAGGAACTATAAAACAGTAAAAAACTGAAAGACTGAAATCAGAAAAAGAATCTAAAGGAAATAAGTAGAAAAAGCAATCGTACTTGTGTGTCACTCTGACAGAACTGGGTTGACCTATAGCATCAGTGCCATCAGCAACCATCGTGTCACCAGGAGCACCACCAGTTTCCTCTGCTTTTTTGTCATTTTCAGCATTGTGACGTTTGGTGATACTTCTGGTCTTTAGCACCTGCAGTTCTTCCTCTTCCAGGTTTATGTCATATATTTCACCTTCAAATTCCACAGACAAGGATCGGGTTTGGCGAGTGTGAACAAAACGTGGTTTGTATTCTGCAGAAGAAAGAAACATCCACAGCTGCATATACACATGAACATGACTCTTGCTCTAAACACCTAGCATATTCCAAAGAGCAAGAAGGCTGTTCAATATTAACAGCTTACTTTTCTTCTGTGGCTTTGCAGAAACTTATTTCATTATCTTTGATTAGATCAGGGCCCACCCTCTCATCAGTAGCATGAAATTCTGAATGCTCTGAATTTTGCATTTCATGCTAGACTGGTCTTATGCCACAGTTAGCATCTATACTTCCAAACAAAATCAGTATCTCAAAAATCAGGTATCTAGAATGCAACACTCAAAAAACCCAGAAACTACATGGTTAGAACTCCATTAGAAAATTAAGCCATTCTGTGTTGTGAAACAATGTCACCACCTGTAAATTGGCATGTATCATAAATTTGACTTATGCTTCCTAATTAAAATTACTTTTTTAAAAGGATCCTTTAAAAAGGCAAGAATCTGACATATATCAGTGCATACACTTGTGCATATATATACATATATATATACAAACTCTGACACACACACATTTCATCCGTATCTATGAATACAAATTTTAGTCCTCCAAAACCTTGCTGTGTTGTAGAGTTAAAGTGAGCTCTGTTTTCCATTTGTTGCATCCATGCTGAGCACACTTTTTGTTACCTAACTGCATTCTATGCAAGAGAATAAAGTGAGAGCTCTGGGAGAGTACTGCCTTTAGCATTTAGGATAGATTTTACTGCAGCTTTTTTTTTTCTAGGGCCTTTGAGAGATTCATACTGAGCCAGAAAAGGCAAGAATCTTTTGAAAGTGCAGATAGTGAATCTCATTCAACTTTTTACTCAAACAATCCTATCCTCCTAAACTGTTTCAGTGGTTGCCTGCTGTCAGGTAAGAAAAAAAAAAAAAAGCCTTCCCAGTCAGTGAAAAACCATAGTTCCAAAGTACCTTTCTGCTTTATATAAATCATTAATGAAACAGTGAAGAAAGATTCACAGGATCAGATGGGAGAAATTCTGGCATTGTAACAGTGTCCGACTTAATTAAGTGACTAAAAATTTTTGGAGTACAAAAGCATCTTATCCAAGTGTCATCTGGAGGTCTGAACCAGTCGTTCCCTTGATAATGTCTCATCACCATGACTCTCTGTTTGTCTCAGATGCACAGTAAGGGAATTTTGAGGAGGAGAATGAGAGGCATTAAAGAGGATTGAAAATGTTGTAAATGTTGTAAAGCATAACAAATAGCTTTTTTTCTGATGTCCCCTTCATATGCTCTCAACAAGTTGTTTGCCCCTTTCCCATCTCTCCACATTCTCTCTCCAAGGCACTGCCCCTAATTGCAATCCCCATCCAACCCTTGCTGGTACCCTGGCAACCCTTCTCTTTCCAAGCTAAAGGTAGGAATCTCCCCTTGAAATTATCACTTGGGGGAACATTGACCAGTTTGAGGATCACTCCGGTAGTCGGTGACATGGAGACTTTTCAGAGGTCTGCCTGGGCACACTATGAATTTTCTTAGATCATACTGAACAAACAGAATAAACTATATCAAGGCAGCATTTAGTCTGAGCAATGAGAACTCAAGACGGACAATGCTGTGGTTGAATGTACAAAGAATACCAAGGATTCTTGTTCACTTGCAGAGTATGGCCGGCTTTAAATCAGGAAATATTTTGAATTATACTGCCATTTTCTTATTTCATAGACATCTGTGCAGCATCTTCTAGCTTTTGCATTTCTTATGACTCAACAATCTTCCTATTTTAGAGGCTTATCTCTATTTCATTCTCTGCTCTAGTATTCTGAACAGAGGACAGGAACATACAACCTGTTCCTGAGCAAAGCCCCTGAAATCCAGGTTTACTTTTATTGTTATGGCTACAGAAGCTCACTTTCATCATGGGGCAGACAGATTAAAATACTTGTTCTATTTAAAATAGTGTCTTCTTAAACAGGCTTTTGCGGTATAAATCCTTAGCAGAGACTAGTCCAAATACTGCTGTCTTAAAGCCTTCTTGTGCATTCCTTTCAGACCACGCTCCACTAGAGGACACTGCAATCTAATCTGTTTCCTTGCAGCACTCCCAGTACAGCCTGGAAGCTGCAGCTATGCAAAAATTCATTCTGCCAGCAGTCATGGCCTTTCAGTGCCTTGTGTAGAAGAGGTCTTAGGGATACCATCAGACAGCATTTGAATTTGGTATTAATGATGCAAGGAAACGCTTTGACTGTCTTAGCAAATAAAGGTACTGGTTCAACTGCAGATGACACCAGGTACGTGTCTGACCAGTGCGATAGGTGGCACCAATGCATCACCACCACAGCCAACCTGACCAGTATTCTTTACTGCTGTGCAGGGATAACTTTGGTTCTAATCGTTTTTGTTATTACAGAGGCATTTATGTAGAACCCAGCTGCCAATTACATTGTATTCATTGTATGCTGAGGATAAAACCAACCCTGTGAACCTTTACCCCTGTTCTTTACCCCAGCATACAGGAGGTCTGAACACTTACTTTGCGTACTGGGGTTTCTCAGAAACTGTCTTTGATTTTTTCTTTGGGTCCTGCTGTTTCGGAAATCAGTGTCTCCACAGTTACAGTCCTTATCTTTACCGCTGTATCCCCGGGAGTGGATGCTGCGGGTCCTTTTCCTGATGGCCAGGATGTCGCTGGATACCTTGCACTTGTGAATTCGAAGCTTGCCAGAGGCATCTTCTGTGCACTGCCACTTCTGCAAGAGAGGGACAGAAAGAGACATGTGAGGATGATTTCCCAGCTGCCTTCCAAACCCCTGCTGCTCTCAGATGGATTGCAAAAGATGACAAGCAAATTTCTTTCAAAACTAAGTGGTCTCTTAAAGAACAAACTGAGGTGGGAAACATTTTAAGGGACTAAATTTGCTCACATCCTTCTCAACATCTCTCTCAAACTAGGCAAACATAAGCTTGAATGAAATAGCCGTGAAACTGCATAAAGAAAACACAACTCAGCCAAAAATGATGTATAAATCAAGAGTATCTAGACTAAACACATCCATGAAAGAAGCAAGTAAAAAGTCTTAATTTACTGAGCCATGGAATACAGCTGTCAGAACTGTTTTCACCAAGACTCTTTTACCCTTTGAAAAAACAAACTTTGCCTCTTTGTTCTGCAACTCGGAATTTCTACCATGATTCACAGGAAAATAAAAAATCTCCACAGATGAAGAAGAACTGGTTCAACTGTGGGGTTCCTTGGAAAAGAGAAGGACAAATCATGGATGTGATTTACACAAAAATACTATGACACTAAGAGCATGTAACTTATTTCCATACCAGAGGCCAGAGTTAGGAACTACACCCTAACACATCCCTACAAACCATGCCACTCAGACCTGAAAATACTGCTGACTATTCATATGAGAAGCCTGAAAGCATAACTTCCCCAGACCCCTCACTCCCAGCAAGTGGAATCAGTGCAACAAACACTCCCAGAAAAGAGCAAAGGGAAAAACCTCAGGGACAGCAAATAAATAAATAAGCTTGGATAAACTCCTTTGGATTCGTAAGTCTTGAGATTTGTATCAGGCTGGTGAGAAAACAGTGCAGTCTGGAAGGAGTACCTGTACAACACTGTACATGTGCTGAATATAAGAGCAAGTGAGGGAGAATGAGAGGAAACAGAGATTTTTCCAGCTTGTCTGCACAATATCTGACTGACTTGATTATCAACGTGACTGAATCCAGATGGAAGAACCCAGGTGGATTTTTCCAGTGGATCCCACTGTCTCCACATTTCAAATAAGAAAGAAACAGAGACTTTAATTTCCTCTCCACACTGAACTGTGTGGTTTTTTTTCTTTGTTTTTTTTTCTTTTTTTATTTTAATGGATAGGTGGTGACAGATTGGCACTCTTTTGCCCATGTCCAAAGCTTGCCATATGTGGCTGCAGGTAAATAGCTGGCATGCATAAAACATTGCACATGCTAGGAAGCCTGTGATTCCAAGCAAGCTGTAGCCCAGTAAGAGAACTAGAAATAGCTACATTTACTTATAATACAACTACTACCCAGTGAGCTTTGTTCACTTACAAAGCCACAATAAAAAGACTGCATACAAAGTTATTAAGTTTGGCTGGATAGGGTTGCAACAGCAACAGCAACCACCTCTACTTGTTCAGATTTTTACAGGCCCTTGTTCTTTGCTGGTGAAACTGCATAGGTAGTGGTGATGATTATGTTGAAAAATAGTGTTTTATAGCTAAGAATTTGCTCAATCAATGTTACTGTGCTCATCATATCTGTCGTAGTTTCCATGAAAATAAATAGGAGGCGTTACTTTCAGAGCAACCTACATACATCTGGCCCAAGACAATTCCTCTTCATTCAGCGCAGCCCATGCAAACCAAAAGGTTTAACAATCCATGCTATACGGTGTCCTTTTTTGGTTCCCATGAATGGACAGCCTTAGGTTTTTCTTTCCTCATTAATAATGGCAAGACAGCTAGATGCTGGTCTTAATGAAGTTCCCAACTCAGTTTTTGAAATGAACACTAATATCAGAGCAGACATATTTCAGTAAGTCTCTTCCATTAGCTAATGACTGCTCTGGACTCTTTTGGTGGTGCTGTCAAGCTGACTGAAGAATGAAGAAAGAAAACAGCCTCAGGTAGATTTGCTGACCTGATAACCTGAGAAGTGAGTTGATGTGGTTGCACACAATAGAAAACAACTTCTGACTTACACATAGCAGTCACTTCAAAGAATAGGAAGGAGGAGAGGTAAAATTAATTATCAAGCATATACTTACAGTACCTCCACTCATATAACTGTTTGGGGCTTTCTGCGGTGCTTTTAATGGCAGAAGTATTTCTCAATTAAACACTGAAATATTGGCTCTGACCCACAGCCCTGTGAAAGCACACTTTGGCTGAGTGCAGCCTGAGCTAAAAGATGGATCCCAAACTGAGAAGGCTTGCTTGTGGTTCAGTGTGCCTTTGATCGCAGAACACCAAACCACGTTTAAATGGGCCTGCAGCCGTCTGACTGCCATCTGAGGAATTATAGTCAGGCCCAGACTTTCAGAATAAACCTACACCTACAAGTGACAAGGGGACTTTCTACAAGCAAAGGCGTCTGAGAGCTGTAACATTTTCAAGACTTTATTCTGCAACAGCAAGTGCACTCTCCTATCTCAAAAAGACAAACTTGCTACAGGATAAGAAGTGAGTGCCCCGTTATAATTCCTGTGTTTTTTGGGTATCTTACATTTATAAACATACAGCACTAGTTCTTAATGAGTCTCAAAAGCACCATTTGAAAGTAAAATAAGTATTTTCTTTGTCTAACATTAATTATAGCAAGAAGTTCCAAGAGTGGCTTCAATAGCCATTTAGATCATTTTTAAGAGTATTATGACTAACATTGAAACAAGACTCCCTGTGTCTAATATGAGCCAATAACAGTTCTCTGTTTAAAACAGGGATTAAATGTGATTCAGTTTTCCTTTTTTTTTTTTTTTAAACTTTTAAATGTGTCATTATAAAGATGCTTCAGAGTTCTGAGATGGAATTTTTAGACTAACTTTCCTGAAACCTAGCCCATGTCAGCGTAATCATGAATTGAACTTGCATTATGCAGTAAGACATACTGATTCTTCTGCTCATCTTTAGACCTATAAATGCATTAATACACATAAAAAAAGATTCTGAAAGATGTGCTGTCCCTTTCCAGCCTACCTTCCTTCCTATTGTGAATACCAAACTATTCTTTGAAATCCAGAAGTATAAGGTTTGGTTTCTGAGTCTTTATTTTTTCTTTGTAAAAACTAAACTGAACAAAAATAAACTAAAACATTGCCACATATAAAAGCTAAGTATGTCTCCATTGACTTTTAATTTACATATGTTTTCTTATTCTCCCCAAATTTACTTTTCTTCCTGTGTTGATATTCCACAAAACATCCAAGCTGATCTGGAAATTCACTGCTGCCACAGGAATAAGGGATGGTCGCTGCTTCTGGCTGCATGCTGACTTAGGTTCTATCAGTAAGGGACAAGAGGACTAACTCAGAATTGATAAACAAAGCAAAAAAACCTCCACCCTATTGGGAAAGAAAAAGCAAGACCCTGCCATTTGACTGCAACAAGCTGTTATATCCTTTCAGTCACGTTATGAAACTTAACATGTGTCAGCCCTTTTTCCTGACTCATCTTTTCCTTCTTCCTTCTTTCTTCTCATTTCAACACCTGCCTCCCAGCAATGATTTTGCTCCTGCCTCATCTGTCCACCTTCAGCTTTCCTTCTGCCTCAATTTATTTTCAGAGGGGAAGTAAAGGTGGAAAAGCAACTTGCAGCAGCATTTTGGAGGATATAAAGGTTTAAAAGGACAGAGCATCACTTTAGGAGCTCAAGGTCCTTTCATCTCTGCCCAACATGAAGTTTGAATGCATAAGGACGGATGTCTGCTGCTTTATGGGAAGGCTCACATGGACTGCAGTAGGACAGCAGTAGGAGCTTTGCCTCTGGTGATGTCATTAGCATGACACATTTTCATCTGGGGCTAGAAATCTGCCCTTATAAAGTCATTTCAAAGGCAAAGAGGAGTAAACGGACTGATTAAAAGTATTATTTGTACTGGGTCATTTTGCTTTGCATTGCAGCTGGCACAGTTCCACCTGTGACTTCAGCTACACGAGAAAGTCAACAGCAAATGTTTCACTAGCTACCTTGGGTTCCAACTTCCTGATATCCACAGCCTTAAAGTCAAGTGAATTTACTTCATTACGAAACATACTTCAGGCATAAAAATATAAATTCAGCATGAGTCATTGTGCTGTGCAGCACTATGAATATCCACTTAAGCAGGAATTCAAATCAACATTGTTTAACTAACAGACTGTCACAATTTTGAGAGAGTTGATTCACATAGAGGGGAAATTAATTAGAGAATTCATGAAAGGTGTCCTAACGGTAGGCAAGTTAAGGATCTTGATAAAATGTAATTACTCCGTATTTGCAGCATACTCTTCAGTGTAAAATAGCTTGTCAGACTTGATCACAAAGCTATGAAACTCTGAAAAACGTGATCGGAAACACAACACAAAGACAATATTTGTACAGATGCTTTTTCATTTCAGTAACGAATGACTGACTTGAGTATTATTACTCATCCTAGGGAAGGAAAAGGAAGACTTCATGAACTTAAACGTGCCACCAAGATCAGATTTTTCTTTTTTTCCCCTGATTAAAAATATACGATTTAAGTTGGAAAAGGATTTAGATGAAAAGACATGGCTGTTATGCCTGTATGTGTGTACCACTTTCCTCTGTTAGCAATAAGCAGACCTGCCTGAGTGTCAGGGAACCTGATGTGACAATATCAGCGAAGGAGGGTGGGTTTGGGTGTGCTGCTGCAACAAGAACTGTGACATACAAAAAGTCCCTCTCGTGCAACATGCTGAGAAGTGCCTTGTAGTTAGCTGGCTGTGGTAAATAGTACAGATAAGCAGCAGTTTACTTCTGCTGAACTGGACCTGAACACTGAGAAACCTTTGTGGCGTAAGGCCATGTCCTCTGTGCACACTCGCAGTGTGGTCATAAACCTTGGTTCTGACCTAGGTTCCTACGTGACCCTGGAAATGTGATTGAGTTGTCACATTTAGACAGTGTTTGAATATTGCAAGCAAGTGCAGCTGTTTCACCAGGACAGTGTGCCAGATTTGTTCAGGGTATTTGGAACTGCTGCTTTTTT